GCAAGGAGAAGCATTAGGGATATCTATTAAGGTCCAAAGTATCTCACTCTATCTTCCATCCACTCCTCTTCAGTCACCTCACACTAGTAGATATTTTTAAATGAAAGGAACTTTCCCAAAATGCAAAAGTTGTTGAGAAGTTGGGATATATGTAGTTAGGCTTCCTCCACAGGTAACCTACAGGGAGAAAGACATTTTTCCATGCAAAAGAAATCAAATTTCATGTAAACCTGGAATACATTAGGAAACTGGAAGATAAAGAGGGTCTGTAAGTTGTAAGAGTTTGGGAGGACTTGGGGAAGGAGAGCAGCTGGAGATGTTGAATGGGAGAGCACTTAGGAGTGGGAAAAAGAAGAGGCCTAGGTAGGGGGAGATTTGTAGTGAAGTAGAGGTGTTTTCCTCTGCTGTTAAAGAAGTCCAAACTCTGAAGAGGCATTAATGAGGGAAGACCAGGGGCACTGGATTGGCTTGGGAAAGATGAGGGAATAAGGCAGACGAAAGGGAGTAAGGACTCAATAGTGAGAAACCTGTGATTTTGAAAAGATTGTCAACTTCCAGAGCAGCAAAGGTGAGAAGGCCATTGCTGAGGACTGATGCAGGGGGCTGGCTCTTCAGCAGTCCACACAAGCACCTGACACTTCTGCCTGGAAGGTCAGGAATACCAAATACAGGATTGCTTTCCTGCTGCTTGACTCTTTTATAATTTGGTTTTAGTAATATGATGTACCTGAGATCTCACCTTTTATATCATATTTTGATTTGGAAAGGGCATGGTTTGAAGAAGGATGAAATGGAGAAATGAGGTCATAACGAATTACAAGAATTAGGATTTGGATGTTGTGTTCTTATTAAGAATGTCTGTCTTTACTCATCTTTAATCTTACCTTCATTTTATATGTTTCCTTGAATTGTTCTATATTTATATCATTGACACCCATATAGTAATGATCCATGCTTACAGGCAAAGGATTTCATTATTGTGTATTGCAATACTCCTTCCCTTCTTGATAGAAGAAGAAAAGACTTTCCCTTTGAGACAGTTGCTCGTACTCCTCCAGGACATTCCAAAGCAGTTTTTTTTTGTTGTTTTTTTGTTTGTTTGTTTGTTGGTTGGTTTTTTTGTTTGTTTGTTTGTTTGTTTTTCTGGAAAGCAACTATTAAGGTTGCTCTGTAATTTGTGTGATCTGCCTTGCAATAGCCAGTTCTGGGAGTAGAACAGTAGTGAGTAACATATGTACGTATTCAAAGCAATTCTAGAACGGAAGATTGGGTTGGTCCAATCAATCTCAATGATTTGAGGGTTCCAGTGACCACTTATCAAGATCAATCTGTCCTGCATATCACATGATTACGTTGTGATCTAATTTTGAATGAAGCATTACTTGGCACTGCTTGTTACTATGATCAGGGCCTCTCAGTCTAAGCCACTGTACAAACAAATAACCTGAACAAACCATCCTTTCACAACAAGTTTACAGTTCACACGTCAGACCAGGAAGCTAAGAATGGATATTAAAAAAAGTAAACAAGGTAGATTTGAAAAAACAGATGAGATAGCAATAAAGCTGTAGGAGGAGCAGATGTCTCAGCTTCCTTCTCACAGTACTACCTAGTAAAGTTCTCTGGGCTACCATACATAAGAACAAATGAGACCTGGTTGCTTTGTTGATGTCAATAAAAAATAGGTATGAGAAGAAAGGAGATTCTTGCGTGCCACCCCTTCAATTGTTCGTGGCTGGTAGTTGATAGCCCATGTTCAACTGAAATACAATACAGAAACAGCCATGTGTATGGAAGCACAGGAGCCCAGTTTAGCCTCTCTCTCACTTGCTGAGCAATGCTTGCATTGTGTTGGAAATAATCCCACAAAGAGGAGTAGGTGGGAGAAATTAGGATGTAGAAAGGTGTTGGGTTCCTGGAAGAAACAGAAAAGTTGAGAGGAGAGAAGAAAAACCTTTGCGCCTCTGGGAAAAATTGGTTTGGCTGGAACAAACTTAGTGATTTCACTGTGTGATCAAGGTCCAGAATGGAAAAGTGATCTTTTCTGATCTGGTGATCAGAGCCTATAGGAGCTGGGAATACACTTCTGAAATGGCAGGCTCTGTCAGGTGGCAGAGAACGAAATGTCTCATAAGAAAATGCAAATATACCAAGTGTCAAGAAAACTAGAATAAATGGGGAAAGGAAGGATACTGAAGGATGATAAAACTGTTAGATCCTTCAACAGGTGAAGCTGTGTCTGAGGTGAAGGTCTAGGGTTCAGCCATAGCAGGGAAAAGTAATAAAAAGGTGTAGGCAGCAGATAATTTAAGATGAAGGGAATCATTATATGAACGGATGGGAAGAAAGAACTAGTAGAGAGCTGGACAGATTTCAGATACAGGGGGCATAGAGCATATGGAAAAAGAAGAGTGGACAAAAAGCAACAGTGATAATCTGATGTTTAAGAAATGTTTAGCTTTTTTTGCATGCTAGCACAAAAACCATGAAACCTCACAAACAGAAAGATTCCTCTCCATACGTTATGGGTGGGAGTACTGTGTACAGCCTTCTGAAGCTTTGGCAGCTAGTCATTACTATAGACAAATCTGGGATACACGGACTTTTAGTTTAGGGCAGCCTGGCAATTTTTGCACTGTTATTCATCTTGCCAAAATACACATTGTCTGATAATATTTAAGTTGTATAAACATACCTTTCAAGGGAAGGAGCTGTTGAGAGAATCCAGGCAAAGAATTAGTTTGAGAGCAAATCTAGTACTTCATTACAATGGCAGCCTCTGTTCCTGACAGAGCCTTTGCTGTCCAGAAGGAACGGGAAATTAAGATAGAGACATTGATTCTTTCTATCCCAGCAATGACAAAGACTGCAACTTCCAATTCTCTCAACAGCAGTTGCTGGCTTCTACTTCAGCAGCAGTGCCAGAGAACCTGCAGTCAGTTCCAGTATTTGCAATGTCACCTTGGGTGACAGTGTCTGTGGAAAGCCACCTCTTTTCCTACCGTGTGATAAATGCATCTTAGGTGGGAGTGATTAAATAGAAAGTTCTGCTTTGCCTTTCACCTTTGAGACAGTAGACTTCATTTGTTTTATTGTTCTGGGTGTGTTTTCTAAGCAAGGCATGTGGTGCCTGAGAGTTTCATAATCAACCTTTGCTAAATTAATTACAAAAAATCATTTGTCTGTTGCCAAAGCAGCTAGGGGAAAGAACAATGTGCCTCTCAGAGCTAAAGCAGGACTCATGAAGCTGAGAGAGAACTGTGTCAACAAAAAATGCAATTATGCAGAAAAATGTGAACTAAAATTTGATCATTATTCTGATGCTTTGTAGTTGTCTCATGTTGGCTTACCCTGTTTAGCACAGTTCACTAATGTGTAAGACATCAGTCTGCGTTTGTTCGGGTTCCAGCTTCAGGGTGCTGGCAGTGCCCTGCTGCCCTTCTACCTATTGCTCACACCTTCTGCAGTCATCTGCAGGACAAGATCTGCAAGCTCCATGAGAAGTTCCAGAAGTGTGAAATCTAAGAAAGCACAGCGGGAAGGTGGAGAGTCTTTTCTAGCCAGAGAGGCAAATATCCTAAAAGTATATCATGTTATTGATGTAGATAATGCAGCTTTTGTTAGCACATACAGAAATCATTTCCACACCCAGAAAGAAGAAGATATCTCCAAACCTGTGCACAAACTCAGTTGTTTATCATGGTGTTGTTCTGTACCCTCTTTATAAGCTCTGCAGTCTAAATGGCTTCAAAATACCAAAATATACATCCTCCTCCATTTGGTATTAACACAGTTGTGTCAGTGGGTTTTTAACAATTCATTTTTTATTTAGGCAGCATTAAGTGCCTTGAAACAGTTTTCAGAACAAGGACTGGATCCAGTGGAAGGGGCTATGAAAGTTGAGAATGGATCACTTGAAAAGTAAGTACCATTTAAATCCTTTGCATTTTAATGCCTGTGTGGCACTGTAGATAAGAAATATTAATTAAGAGCTTAGTTGCTCTTTTAGACCTGTGCAAAAACTTTCCATTTGAATTTGCGTAGTTTTTGACAATTTGAGAGGATAAGCAGGATTTCAGGTTTAGTATTACTGATAATATTTACTAATGAACTATGAGACAGTCAATCTTCCTATGGAAACCCCAAAGAAAAGGATTTTCTGTTTATTGTATGGATTATCTTTAAGTAGCATAACATGATTTTTCTCCAGTGTATTGTAGCACGTGATATTGCCTGTAAAGAGGATAGTTATTGCAGTGAATCCCTATGTCTGCAGGGTGAATTTTACCCTAGAGAATTTAGAAGTAAGTTAAAAATTCTTTCAGGTCTTAAAAACTCTTATACAGAATATTATCTTTAAGGAGCAGACAATGGATACAAGTTTCACAGTAGATTTTCAAGTATTTAGGAAAGTTGGATTGTCCATCCAGTACAGATTTTTTTTTTTCCTGCTGTTAGTATGTTTACATAAGGTCTTGTATTACCACATAAGTTAGGGAATGATAGTAAAAGAGAAAGAAGACTATAAGTGGCATTGGGAGTCTTCAGTAAATATATCGTAGCTATTTATAAACTAATTTAATCAGAAACAATTTTCCATATGTGATCTCATCAGCATAGTATTTGAACATAAATATTGTTGTTTCACTTTAAAATGTTACCTTCCACAGTGACCTTTGAATTTCATGTGCCATCTGCTAATAAACATGTCTTAAAGATGTGCAACCCTGGACCTTACCACTCTTGTTAATGTATTAATCTTTCAGACAAGTCAAGCATCTGGGAGAGAAAGCAGACAATAAACAGACTAACTCAGGCACCATTGCTCAGGACTGCAAGGATTCAAAGGCTGTTGTCTAGGAGCTTCCCAGCACCCACGGCTGCCACTGCATCCTTATAAACCTGTCAACACGCAATAGGGTGTATGTGTACAAGGAAATGAATGACTAATACCATTATTTGAGTCTTATGTGAAGACAACACTATTCTAACACAAGAGATAGTATACATGGTACTGTTTATTCAACTGTGGAAAAAAACAAAATTGAACATTTCCCTTAGAACTCGAGATCAGAGCATAACTCAATTGCCCAGAGGCAGAAGAAATCTGATCATGTTACTGGAGGTTAAAACAACAACTAATTAACAGAAGTGTTAGAAAAAGAAAAAAAGAAAAAAAAAGTTGATTAATAGTGAGGAAATCCAGTCAGCATTGTTTCAGTTATACAATTTTTCGTAGTGTAGTTTTAAGTTCAGCTTACTGTTTTTTAAATAATGCTTGAATATTTTAAAATTAACCAATGACAGTGCTGTGAGAATTGTAGTTGTTGTCTTCATATATAGTCATACAGCTTATCTTTTTATGCAGACATTATGCATTCTTCATTCTATATGAATATGTATGACTTTAAGATGCACTACTCGGAGTTGTATGCAAACAGAAGTTTAAATCATGACAAGTATTTGCTTAACATGAACAGATGTTAGTTATGATCAGTCTCAATATACTCCAGGAAAAAGCAAATATGGTATTTGATTTTCCTTGCCATTATCAATTAAAGAGGCGTCTTGCCTCCAGGCGACATGTTCCCCTTCAGTTCTGCTCTCTGTTGTGTGAAGCACATCTACACCCCATCTGTGTGTTGTATCAGCCCACCGTTTGCATCAACTGAGTGTTTTTAATCTCTGCATTCTGACCAACAGCAAAAGGTAGGATTGCAACCTTATCAAGCCAAGGTAGGAAAACTGTTTATGTGGAGATTATTCTTTTGTGAAGGGAGCAGCAGCAGAGATGAGACCTGTGGCTGCACTCTGTACCAGCATATCCCATTTCGGTGTGTGGCCAAATGCAGTAAAACCACATCAGTTCATGTGCACAATGACAGTGTCGTCTCTTTCTTTACCACTTGCAGGTAGACAACCAAAAGAATGGGTTGAAATAACAGCACAAAAAGCAATTACAAATGAATGAAGGTCTGGCTACCATGCCAGTGCCTGGTTCAATCTTCCCTTCCCCATGCCACTGTCTTCTACAAACCTACTGTGTTACAGCAGTAAACCTGGCATGTATGTCATTTATTTTGTCCAAAACAACTATTTTATTTTCATAAACCTCTTGCAATAAACACATAAAGCAACTGCCAACTGCATAACAGTCCTGACAACATTGCACAAGGTCTCGGAAGCATGTAAACCAGGGATCACAATCCTAGTGACTCACTCAGGAAAGCCGCACTGTAAGGACATGGAGCAAGGTACAGCGGCATTGATTCAGCTCGTGGGGTGATGTGTATCATGCTCTTACAGAATCAGCAGTCTCTAACACTGACTAGTCCTTATTTCTGTTTCATATTTCTCAAGGGTATGTTTCACATTTCTCAGTGGTATGTTTCACAGTCCCAAGGAGCCTTTGTGCTAAGAGTCTGCAATTTCTCAAGGTTCTGATTCTGTGATATGCAATAGAGTCAGGAGCATGCAGACTCTGTCAGTTTCCACAGAACTGGGAGGTTTCCAGCGGTGTTTGGCACCTGGCAAACTCAACTTAGTGAGGTAGCAGAGTATAATAGTTAGCTCTTGCACACTGTATTTCTCAGTGATACCTAACCTGCCCGAAAGAGCAGAAATTCTGTCCCTTCTTCATCTCAGCAGGTAGAAAAGCTCAGAAAACAGGCTTGGTCTGTTCTGTGGCAGTACCTTCCAGTATGCAGAATACGAATGGCATTACCATCGCCTCCCATGGGCAACAAGAGCAAAAGAAAGGACAAACAGGTTCCTTGATGAGTCGCTCCTCAAGGCAGGAGGCTGAGCTTGCTGGGAGGATGTGACATGGAGACTGGCAGTATGGTCTCTTTGGCACTAGCAGCACCTCTGCATGTGTTCCGAGTCCAGTGACTACAGAGAAACCCTTTGCTTTGTAGTGGTTTGCTCAGAAGATGAAGGTACAGGTTGATACTTTGTCACCCACAGCAGGAGGAAAGCTTCCCATGTTCAGCAGCAGGAATGGCAAACCTTTTTATTCAAGCACTGGTGTCAGCAATAGTGCATAGTGTTCAGGCACAATGCCAGCATGATGCCATTCCCGAGTCACAACCACAAAAATGCATCCAGTAATTCTCTAATTATTGCATGGTTGCACTGATGGTAGCTTGCACCCGTACAGGCAGGAGAGCTCTGAATGGGCAAATGGCAGCCAAATGCATGCCACCCTGCCTGACCTCAAGGCGGCTCATCCGGCTCCTTCCATTCAAGACAATGGCAAAGCAAGGTCATCTCTGTGAAATGTTCACCATCTCATTGCTGGTCAAAGTCATGCTCGATTCTCACTCCATCTAGGTAGGAAGTGGTGGTGCTTCTTATTTTTCTCAAAACTCTTGAAACATTTAATAGATTTTTGGGGACGTCATTTAATAGCTGGACTTCTGACTGTTTTCCAAATGCAGGACTGGCTCATAATTGTCATGATCACAAGTCAGAAGGTTTTGTGCAGCCTGAGGTAAAGCACATACAGATGGTGGTTTTAACGCACCTCCCAAGCCACGGGTTAAAAGCCTCTCCAAAGAGGCTCCACTGAAGGCTAAGACAGTGCTTTTCCTGACATAAATCTGAAGAAAGAGTTCCTGCTCCCTGCCGATACAGATGGGAGCACCGAGACCATTGCACAGAGCTCATCAAGATGCTGCACCTGAACTCCATTATGTCATTTCAGTGCTACTAATGCACTCGGAGGCTCCTGTCCCAACACAGAGACTTCCATTTGTCTACCTGTGTCTCACTCATGAGAAGTTTCTCAGTGAAAACCCTGCAGTATAAACACACACATGTACAGAAATGCACTTTAAATGTAGTTTGGCACTATCCCTAGCAGCCTCCCAAGAGCCCGAGGAAAATTCTTGTACCAGAGATGTTGCAGCAGCCGGTGGACTCGTCTCTGATCCTCAGTCTTGTTGGTTCACAGCTGTTCCTCTTTGTGTCTGAGCTGGCAGCATCTGAAAGCTGCTGGGAAGAACTTAGACCCAGTGATTTGAAAACTAATTTGTTTTTCCTCCAGCAGCCCCTTTTATTTTCTGATTTTGCTTCCCAAATTCAAATATGGGCATGTGAAACAAAGCAATGTCTATATTTACTTTGTTTAATCGTTAGCCGGAGATGAACGCTGAAAAAGGATCAATATGTTTAGAAAGCTCTTATTTGTTCTAGAGTGTCTGAGTTGTTTTTTCTTTTTCTGACAGCAGTTAATCATTTCTAGTTATTACTTTTAGATTATACTGTCTCTGAGGTAGAGATTGGCCAACCTTCTATTTGCAAAGCACCAAGAGTAGTTTATTTGCCTGTTTAGACTGCATCCCACCTATCATATCCTGCATCCCACTGCACTTTATAGATGAGTGAATGCTGTACTGATGTGGATCTGAGGTGCACACTGATGCTTAGGAATAAGGCTGGAAACAGTGCCTATCTAGCAGAAAACAGTGGGTTCTGTGATGAGCACTGTGTTAAAATCTTTTTTAAGGACTCAGAACACAAGTTATCATTAGTTCTAGACCTACAATCATCATTAATCGGGAGGAATTATGCTTGAGAGGAAATAGGACCCTCAGGTACCCTCTCAGAAAATGTTTTCAACACCTTCTGGAGATCAGTGAATTAAGAGCTTGCATAGGAAAAGCGCCATAACAGAATGAGGGTATCTGATAGGGCTCGAAGCATGAGAATTCATATGGTTAATTTTATATCTGAGTTATCATCTCCAGTTGCATGCTGGCCTGTCAACAAATCAACACGCTCTGGAAGTTTCTGTTCTCACTTTGACACATGAGGCACCGACTTCCAAAAGGACAGATGTGCTGCTTCCAGCAAATGCAGTGAGCAGCAGGGCGCAGAGCTGGAGAAGAAACACTGATCTCTGTGGCCCTTCTGCAGGCACCCCAGCGTTCACCTGTAATTCACAGTGGGGATGAAGTTATCCCACCGCTGTAGTCCCTACCAAATTCAGCAAAAAATTCTACCAGTGTGTAATTTCACCTGATTGAAGCCAAAGTTACAGGATTTAAGAGATTTGGTGCTCACAGTCAGCCTTTTTAGAGGGTCTTTGCAGAATGTGTCCTTGTTCCCTCTCCATATCTCTGCTCTCACACATGAGGATGGGGCTGAGCCACAGCAGGTTTTGAATGTCAGAATGGGAGTAGTTGGTTCAGGTGACTGCAGGATTATGGAATCCCTTCTCTGTGGCCTGAAATGACAATGAAATCAAATCCTTCCTAAAGAGTATGTGAGGCCCTTGATCTCCCTGACAGTCCTTTACTACATGCATTTTATTGGCGGGAGGCTGCATGTTTTTCTTGTTCTCTTTGGCTTGCTCCAATTCCCCATGAAACAGCAGAAAGTTTCCCATTTCCTGCAGTGAGAGATGAGCAAAAATATTAAGCTGGATTTGTTTTCCAGCTAACAGGCAGAGTATTGGTGATTTTTCTTATTTGTTTCAAAACACAGTGCAGAGAATACACTTGTAAAATCTATCCTCTCCCTGAAACACACAGAGTTTCTCCATTCTCATTTGTGAGCAGATAAGATTTTCTTTCTCTGCTCAATTAAGAATGGCCATTGCAACCCCAAAGAAAAACCAGCCGTGGTTGGAAGGTTATTTTTAATGACAGTGAAGACAGGGACTTGACAGAGCCCTGAGTACCACATTGCATAATTCTGTACTGTTTGGGGGGACGTTTTTCTGCAACAGATGGGAAAGGCTGGTGACTGTCCTTGGTCATCTTCTCACTGAAACACAGGAAGTTATCAGCACCGAGCTACACCTAGAGCAGCAGCGATCAGCACCGATGTTTGCTGTAGCACCCCAAGGATACCTCCACAGAGCTGCAAGAAGGATGTCCTGAGTAGCTCTTGCCTTCCTTCTCTGCAGCCGATGAACCATCAGTGTAAGATAAGGGAAGCAGCCTCCTTCTGGGTATTTACCTCTTGTGCAGGTTTCTGACTGTGTTGCAGCTGCATTCCTGAGGCGTCTTACAGGCTGAGCAAGTGTGTGTGCATTGGTAGTTCAGATGTGTATGAAGTGTCATGGTGGTATGATTTCTATTATTCCACATGAACAGCACTAGCTTTCATTTTTGATCATAGAGCTTGTTATTTGCTGTATGCTGTTAGTCATGGATGGCTGTGCACTTTCGTGCTTGGGGTTTTAACTCTGTAGCACTTCAGTACAAAGGAAATTTAAAGAACAACAATGACAATGTTTCTAATCTGTTCTTAATTAAATAGCCCTCAATAATTGATTTATGGGAAGAGGGGAAACAAGACAGAATGGTAGCTAATCTGAAAATAAAACTTACTTGGCCCCCTTAAGGGCCAAAGTTTCCTTCTGTCTACAATGAACAGTATTTATGGAAGCCTGAATGCCAGAGAAGATTTGTTGGACAGTAGTCAAATGAGAACAAAATTCACCCACAGAAGACAGGTTATACCTCTCCCTATAATATATTAAGATTTCTTTGTACATTAAAACAGGTCACATAGGTCTACTTATTTACTTTCACTTGTGATTAAATGTGTGGCATATTTTCTTTTTATAAGCCACTTGTTAAAAACATTCAAGGGCAATAAAAATGAAGTCAGTATAGTGCTTTAAAATGGTCCCTTTCCATTTGTCCACCCATACCCTGTCCACCCAGTACATGATAGTTGAACTGGACCTAAGACAGATTTATTATTATTACAGTTATTCAGACTTAAAGACATGAGATCTTCCCATGTGGTTCAAAGTGAAGAGCACACATATTTTGTTATGGTTGGCAAAAATGAAATGAAAATGTATGTGGTGCAAAAAATTGCATTACCTGTGCCCAAGATATACTTGATTTTTTTTTTCAAAGTGAAAGACAGCTCCAGGATCAACTGAAGTTTGTCCATTGACTTGAGCAAAGCATAAATTTGATCAAATATTGTCCCCTTAGAACATGTAGCTAGATCAAATATAATAGCAATAGGACAAAAAGAACTTACACTGAGCTGTCTTGCCTTGTATTATCATAAAATGAAAATTTATTGCAAACCAATCTTAACTTTCCTTTATACTGAAACAAAATATAAAGTGAAAGAGATGCAAGATATTTTCTTTGTCAAGTAAGACATACGAAGCCAGAGTGCAGTGCCATAACTGTACTCAGACCAGGTATTACACATGGCTAAACTAAGTTGTGAACTATTGTATCACTAGGACTATCGATTGCAAGTTCAGCCCCAATGATGACTCACAAAGTTGGGAATTGTTTGCAGATGTGTTCAAAAAACTGCAGGTAGGTATCTGGTAAGCAGAGACTACATATCTCGCATACAATAGATGGTAGAAGTAAACAATTAAATGAGCAAGCACAGAAAATAAGCAGTTCCATACAGAAGAAAAGTCACCAGGCCTAAGGCTGTACAGCTGATTTATGCAGCTCACTGCAAAGATGCTCTTATTATTGTGAAATATTTGTTGCATGTGATCAACAAAGCACAGAGAAAGATGTTGCTACTATTTCAATGTTTCTTCTAACTCATAGACACAATAACCCAAGGGCCAGAATGTTAATAGCGCTGACCTAGTTAAACCAGAAAATACAAGATTTTCAAACATCTTTCAGACATCTTCTGAAAATCTGATCCCAGCTGGGCACAATTGTCTTCAGTATCACCTTTGGAGTCATTTTGAAACTGCTTTGGAAATACTGGCAGATCTACCAGCCTGTGGTGAAGTTCTAGAGGAAACCAAGTGGCTTGTAGAGGAGGAAGGACGCTTGCAAGACACTGACACCACTGTGTACAAAATTTCACTGCAGATTTTGCAGGCATCTGAAGTGTGAGGATGTCTACGCAGATCTGAAAAAGATTGAAAGATTGTGCAAACATTTTCATGAAGCAAAAACTTGTGAGTAATCATGGACTTGGTATTTTCCATGATTTTTATTTTTATTTTTTATTTTTTTGCTATTTTCTATTAAATTTTGACTTACCAAAAAATCCCCAACAAACCTTTCCCAAAAAATTGTGGTTTGCTTTTTCTTCTACAAACAGAAGTCCCTCACATTCTATTTCAGTAAAAGAATAAACATAAAGCAACTATTGTGGAAAAGAGGACAGTACTGGACTCCTTGGAATGGGTTTAAACATAATGTATATGTGTAATATACTTTTTATACTGTATATCTACTTATCTATATATCAATATATATCTCAACGTATTTGTATACATACCTGGGCTTCACCTACATTCTAGATAAATAAATATATAGTTGTCTTACCTGAGGGCATGTCAGGTATGGAAAAGTCCCCATGTACCCCAGATCTAACACAAAAGATCTTGAAGTCCACCAGCAGTCACTGCTTCAAGGCAGAAGCTCATCCACATCAATTTCCATTTCTGCACATGTTCAGAAACATTCAGGGCTTAAACAGGTTTATGTTCAGGGTCTCATACCAGTTTAGTCAGCATACAAAATCCTGCTGAAAGAGGAGCTCCTGGTGATTTTTTTAATTATTTTTTTTCTAATCGGTAGCTAAGACTGGAGTTTATCTTCTTCCTCTGCATCTTTCTTTGTGGTTTCCACTAAAGCTGGGTGTCATCCATCTCTCCACCTGGTCCTCTTCAATCTGGTTAGACCTATTTAGCATTCACTAAGGCAATGAGGAAAGTACTGCATTACCTAGGGCGCTCATAGAGTGGGATGCAAAAGAGGTTGGTGCTCTAAACTTTTTCTGTGGATTAGTGATTAGTATCAATATAAGCTAATCACAAGGCAGTTTTTCATGTTCAGTTCCTTGACTCTCAACCACTGAATATTAAATGATTTTGTTTGAGTGAGATAGTTTTCACAGAGATGTGAAGTTGCCCAATGACTTCTGTATGTTGTTGGTTAAAGTATTCTTTGAAGGTGGAATATGTATTTTGCCTGCGAATCAAAGACTTTGACAAAAATTCACAGTAATCTCACCCTGTGCATTCTTACAACCTGGTCTAGTCTTTGAAAGTAAAGCAATTGAACATGAAATACATGAGCCACCCTCCCCAT